CCCCACCACCACCCAGCTCCCCACAGGCCCAGGGAGCGGAGAGCAGGTACAACTCCCAGCTCTCCTGGGAAGGTGCGGCTGCCGTCACCAGCCCAGGGCAAGGAGGGCTGGTGAGCCCTGCGGGGCCTAGCGCCAGTCCTGGGTGGGAACTGGGCAGAGTTTTGAGAAGGGCGACGGCCCTGGGGCCTAGAGGGTGGCGTCTCCAGGCCGGCAAAGCGCCAGGAGCAGAGTGTGGGCGACCCAGCACGCCCCCACCCCGGCAGTTCCCAGAGCTTGGCCCAGCCCCGCCCCGCCACCTCCCTGCTGCGCTGGGTTCCCGGGCCGCGCCCAGGGCCAGGGTCGCCCCTTGCGGCAGACGGGGCCAGCCCTGAACCCCAGGGTGTGCTGGGCGCCGCGCCTGGGGCTCCAGCCCCGCTGGGGTGCGCAGAGCCAGGTCCGTGGGCTCCTCTCAGTTGGCCCCCGCGCACCCCTGCCCCTGACTCCGACCCTGACTCCCGACCCCGCGTGGGGCGTTCCGTTGCTGTCACCGCCGCCAGGCCCGCCGGGTCTAGTGGTCCTAAACATTTCACAATTGCGCTACAGAACTGTTGAACTGTTAAGAACCACTGGACCCAGCGCGCGAGTCCGCGACACCGTCGGCTCGCCGTGCTGCGGAGAGAAAAGCCCCCAGCGCCCTCGGGACCGCCGCGTCGCCCTGCGCCCCGTCGCCGTGCGGCCGCGCCCGCCGCCCAGCCGCAGCCCTCCGCGCTGTCCCCGACGCCCCGGCGGGCGCAGGGAGCGCGCAGCGCCCGGCCGGCCCAGCCCCGCCGCGCGGCGTCCTCGTCCCGCGGGCCCGCGTGCGGGCGGGCTGCGCTCGCTGCGGCGCGGCCAGCGCGGGCGCGCTTTAAGCCGCGGGCCGCCCTCCCCCGGCGCCGGAATGCGCCCGCGCCGCGCTGGCCCGACCGGTTCTTCCGGGCAGGGCGGCTCGGGCCGCGGGTCGCGCGGCGGGTCGGCCACGGCCCTGGGACCTGCTCGGCGCGCCCGCGCGGGGGTGGCCCTGACTCACCGCCGCCCGCCCCGCCCGGCGCCCCGCCTCCAGCGCCCAGCCTGGGCGCACCTGGCCACGCCCGAGCCGTCTCGCCTGGGACCCGGGGCGCCGGCCCACTAAGCGGGGCGGGGGTCCACGCTGTCCGAGCCGGCGCCCAGGCGGGCCGGGTAGGGAGGACCAGGGCCAGACGGGAGCCCAGGGACGTGTTCCTGGCCCCGGGGAGCCGGCCTGGCCTTCGGGGCACACCCATCCCGCCCCTCTCACTTCAAAGGACTCTGTGGGAGGGGCAGGGAGGAGGGCAGAAAGGGAAAGTGAAACTGGAGGGGGGACCGTGCCTGGCCGGTTCTGGTTCTCAGACCCCTGCCTCTCTCAGCAGGTGGCGAGGGCCGGGCCGCCCCTTGTCCCCACACAGGCACACGGTGAGGTCCGCGCCCCACCCCGCCCAAGGCAGGAGCCTGAACTTTGCCCCCACCCGTCAACCCACGGGAGCCCCAGTGCTCTGGTGCGGCCCTGCCCACTTAGTCACCTGGAGGTGTCCGGGCCTGACCAAGGCTGCCTCCCAGGGACTCAGCTGTGCTGCCCATGGGGGGGCGGCACGCGAGCTAGTGGGGAGGGCTCCGGCTTTAGGAAGTAGAGTTCCGGGGGAGGTGACACCCTAAGGTCTTTGCCCCAGTCTTGAGCCACTGGTGTGACAGCACGGGGCTGGGCAGCAGGGGTGGCCAACATTCACTCCGGAGCAGAGTGGCCGCACGTGGCCACCAGCCGGCCTGAAGAGCCGGTGCTCAGTGCTCAGGAGTCACAGGTTGGCCCTGGGCCAGGACGCAGCTTCCAAACTGTGACCGGCCCCTAGACGTTTTCACACGTGCTGTGTGTGCTGTGTGTCGTACACCCTAAAGGTTTTAGTATTTCCATTTGCAGTTGGGGAGACCGAGGCTCGGGGAAGCACGTGCCTTCAAGAGGTTGCACGGTCCTGCTGGGGAAGGGACTGCACGCCTATGGGTCTCTGCTCAGTCCGGGGGGTGAAGCAGAATGGGGGACACGGAGGCTTGTGACCCGCAAGAGGAGCTTGAGAGTTTGCCCCACCACACTCCACCACTGCGTGGGCTGAGTGCCCCCACCTCTCCTGTTCTCAGCTCGAAGCCATCCAGCCCAGCCCGGAGCGACCCCTCCCAACACCCCCGGCCTGGGTGGGCTCCCCCTCACCCAGCAAGCCAGCTCTTCATCTCCAGCATCAGGGGGACTGATGACAGGGGAGAAGGCGGTGACAAGCACCTGTGCCTCCCACTTGCAGCAGGAAATATTGAGGTGTGACCAGAAGGGGAACTTCCTGGCATGCAAGCCAGGTCAGGTTATCTTTACCCGGGGGGCACTCGACTGGGGAGTCTGATCTCAGGGTAGAAGACGCTGGGAAACAGATGGTGGCTGCGATGAGGGGGAGGAGGGGAGATGTTTCCCAGAGATAACCGTGCTGTGGGGCGATTCTGGATGGGCTGTGGGAGCCGAGGCCGCCCCCCGTGGGAAATTGCCAGGTGTGAGCCTGGTTGCTCCAGAACCGGCCTGGCCGTGCCGTGTTCCTGTGTCTCTCCAGCCTCCCGCTGTGGCAAGGGACAAGGGGCTGGCCCTGGTGCGAGGCAGGTTTATAGCCCAGCTCTGCTGGCACCAGGGCAACCCTGGGCACAGGACTGGACCATTCCGTGCCTTAGTTTCTTCAGCTGTAAAATGGGAGGGATGATGCCCCCGTGCCCTCCTCGGGGGCAGAGTGAGGATAAAAAGAGCCAACATGTGCAGAATGTGAGTGTCCAAAACTGTCATCTGTCCTGGCCGTTCCCATCTCACACTAAAGAGTGGGAGGCCCAGGGAGGCAGGTCTCCCGGCCCGGTGCCGAGGGGGCCAGGGCTGCTTCTGGGACTCTCGGAGGAGCCCACTTCCCCAGGGCCAGGCTGGCCCCGGCCGGAGGGGCACAGAATGGCCCCAGAGGAGTTTCCAGAGCCGTGCCTGCGACTTTTCACAGCTGTCTGAGACGCTGGCCTAGGCCAGGAGCTGTCCTGGCGCTCTGCACCCCACAGGTGTGCGGAGGGGCCTGAGGATGGGGCCGGCGCCCCGCCTTGTGGGGAGCTGCCCTCTGCCCACCGCCAGGCGCTCCCGGCCCCCGTCGCCCGGGCTGGCTCCACCAGGCTCCATCAGTGACCCACTTGGGCGAGAGCCAGCTTGGCAAGTGCTCCCCATGGGACACTCGGGATCAGTAGGCGTTTCTACGCTGGCAGGTTGGCACCTGCTGGGGGAGGGTGCTGCCGTGTGGGGTGACGAGAGCCACACGCAGCTTTCACAATCTGGGGCTCCCAGGGCCTGAGAGAAGTGCTGAGTGTGTCGTGGCCGTGGGCAGTGGCTCTGCCCCGTCCCTCGGGAGTGCAGTGAGGGTGGGCACTTCCGAGAGCTGCTGAGTGTGAGAGCAGCCAGGACGTCGGGGCGGGGGGTGGCGCGTCTGTGCCATCCCGGAGGTGGCCTCACCCCCGTGCCACCAGCAGGCCCTCTGAGGGTGCCAGCCTGCCCGTGACAGTGGGGCTCCTGGCTCCCAGGCCCCGTGTGCCCCTCATGGGCCTTGGTCAGGGTGAAGCAAAGGCTTCCCGGGGCCGCCGTGCTCATGTGGTGCCGCCTGGTCGTGCGAGGCCTGGGCACGCCGGGTCTGGGCGAGGACGGGAGGCTGTGGCGGCAGTGCCGGCCGGGCCTGGGAACAGGCTGAGGAGCCCAGCTGCACCCAGGGCCAGGGGCCAGCTCTGGGGTCACCCTTTTGCCCAGTGTCCACGGAGCACATGTGCTCAGGCTGGGCCGGTCCCCCCGAACCCCCACCCAGGAGCCCGAGAGACGGGCGACAGGCAGAAGTTCTCACGCGGGCAGTTAGGGAGGCACTGAGGCCAGGGGCTCCCAGAGGGAGGCCGCTGCCATGGATCCTCACGCCCAGCAAGGCGGTCAGGGCGGGGGCGGCGGGAGGGAGGCCCTGCGCACCCGGCCGTGCTCAGGAGCTGGGGCCTGGGCCTGGGCGTGCTGCCCTGCGGGAGTGCTTAAAGTTCAGGCCGGGAACCGGCTGGGGGTGCAGACACCTCATTTCAGCCCCAGCTGGGCCTCTAACCAGGCACAGAGCTGCCCACCGGCCTTGGAGAGCCGCCCCACCAGCCCAGGCCTGCCCTGCCCATGGGCACACCTGCCCGCCACAGGGCCCGCCCACACGCCCACTCACCAGGCTGGCACCCCGGGGTGGCGTGGGTCGCGCCCCCCTGCTTCCCCCCGCAAGGGCCTGGGCGGCCTGGCTCACGGCGGCGGGCGGTGGGGCAGGGACCATGGACGGGGAGCTCGAAGGGCCGTGCGAAGGGCTCACTGCCAGGAAGAGCATGGAGAGAGGGGACACAAGGTGACGGAAAACCAGACAGCAACCAGGAAGAGCCGTGAGGACACAGTCATGCTGGAGCAGGTGCCACCCGGGGCAGAGGGCTGCCTGGAGGAGGTGAAGTGAGGAGAGCAGGACGAGGAGGGCAGAGGGCGTCTGGCGGAGGGAGCAGCCTGGGCAAACGCAGGGATGCCATCGGGGCAGTGGGAAAGGAAGGACAGCTTGTCCCGTGTCACCTCCCCACGCCACCACACCCCGCCCGGCCCACCCACACTCACACTGGGCTGTCTGAAGGACTGGCCAAGTGTCTCTCTCACCCCAGGGTGCTGAAGACAGGGCCCTCTGCCCCAGCCGGGGGCCCAGCACCCCCACGTTCCACAGTCCCGCGACCCAGACAGACCCTCTCAGAGCTGGGCTTGGGGGACCTGGGGAGCCAGCGGTCCCCAGAACGACTTTATTGCCACGCTGCCCAACAGAGACCTTTAGGTTTTGTCATGAGAACAGGTGGGAGCAGCCCCAGCAGTGGGGGCGCCTCTCAGTCCAAGAGCCAGCGGGGCAGGTGCCTGGCGTCCCCTGGCAGGTCACAACAGGAAGGAGAGGAATGGCTTGTGCTGCAGCAGGATGGCTTCAAGTTAGACGCCAGGCAGCACTTCCCGAAAATGTGAGGTCTCCCGAGACCTCCTTCCTGAGAACACGTGAGGTGCAGGTGGTGTATGAAGGCCGGGCAGACAGGAAAGCCCAGTGCCAGCCCGGAGACTGTGGGAGGGGTGTGGGTGCCCGCCGGGGCCGGCCTGGGAGCCCAGCCTGGGAGCAGGTGGAGGCACCCAACCCCGGGCCCCCTGGGGCGGTGGGCGGGGCGAGCCGTGGAAGCGTCTGGAGCGAGGCTGGGGCCCTCGGTGCTCAGGTCTGGTCTGTCATGGGGCAGCCTCTCTGGACAGGACGCCGGAGGTCTGAGGCCGGCCCATCCCCCAGGAAGCCCTGCACCCTGACACTGTGTTCTGCCCAGAGGCCCACAGAGGGGCTCCGCAGACCCGGGACAGACTTGGCCCCTCCCAGCCCCCTCGGACTGTCCCCAGGATCCGGCCACTGGGAACTCACTGGGGCAGGGTGGTGCCAGCCCCGCCCAGGTCCCTCACTGGACCTGGGGCCTCAGCGGTAACGCCCCTGCAAGGCTCTGTAGAAAGGCCACCACTTCCAGGTTCCCAGCTGCTTCTGCCTGTGGGGTGCACGTGGGGAGGGGCTGCCGAGGGCTGGTCGGGCACTGACCAGCCCAGGCCCCGCCGCCCCGCCCACCTGGGCGCCCCCCTCCCCTGCCCAGGCCAGGAGAGCCAGGCAGCTCCCGCTCCCCAGTCGGGCTTTGGGGAGGAGCAGAGGCAGGGGAGCTGGAGGGCCAGTCAGGGCGGCCTTCCTGGAGGTGGCAGCCTTCATCAGAGGCGCAGGGAGTGGGGACACTCACCACACACAGGGCGCTGCGCCCATCATAGCCCGGCTGCCGCAGGTCGGCCCCTGCCTGCCACCACGCCCGCAGGCCGTCGCCGTCTGCCCGGGATGCCAGCCTGGGGAGGGCAGGGAGCTGCCAGGGCCTGCCGGGCACCCGTCCGCCGGCCCACCCTCGCCCCGGGCGCCCTGACGAAGCCAGCCCCGAACGACTGACCCGGCGGTGGCCAGGCCCCGGGGCAGGAGTCGCTGGGGCCCACGGCAGCCTGGAGTCTGGTTTCACCCAGTGAGTGTGACCGTGACACAGGTCAAGGGCGCCAGCTCACAGCACACACGCACACGTGAGCACACGCACACGTGAGCACACGCACGTGCACACGCACACCCCCACTGCGAGTGCCCGCGCCAGTTTCACATTTCACAACAGCGCTCTCCCCGGGCGGGCCGGCAGCGGCGGCAGGAAAGTCTGAGCAGCCCGGTGGCTCAGAGACAGGGTTCACGGGAGGCGCCCAGGGCGGGGGTGCGCCTGGCCCCAGCAGGCGTGCGTGCGGGAGTCCATGCAGGGAGCGGTCCTGCCCACTGCCCCGGAGAAGGCCGCCTGATCCTCCTGGGCCCGGGACACCTGCCGGGAAGCACCTGCTCCCTCCCTGGCTGGGTGGGGGGGGGCAGCCAGGGCGGGGCCGCACCTGCGTGGGCTGGGGGCTGGGGAGGGCAAGCCCCCCCAGAAGGCCCCAGTGGCTCCTCATCAGAAAACAGCGTGGCGCCCCCACAGCGGCAGGGTGATTTCTGGGTGAATCCCGTAGGATAGCCCTACCCCGACCCGCCCTGAGCCCCTGCACAGCCTCGTGGGGGAGGGGGAGGCCAAGTTCCCACACGCTGGCCGAGGGCCCCCTCCCACACCTCGTCCAGCGAGCCGCTCAGGCTGGCCAAGCCCACACCCAAGACACTCGCATGGAACCTGGCTACCGCCTCAGTTTCCTCCTCTGTCAGGACCAAGTCACCCCAGAAGTCCCTTCAAAGTCAAGTCAAGTGGTTGTGCAGGTCCCAGAGGGTCAGCCCAAGCCCCTCCCTCTGGTCACCGCATCCCCTCGTCGCTGAGAAGGCAGGGCAGAGCTGGCCATGTTTGCCCCCGGGGACACCGAAGACCAGGGCAGGAGGGCTGAGCCCCGTGTCTAGGCAAGGTGGGCACAGGCCAGGGCTGGGGTCCTCTTCCCGCTGCGCGGGCAGCCCAGCCGCCCCCCAGCCAGTCCGCCTGGGTCCCCATCACCACCACTGCCCAGGCCCGACTCTCCCCCAACCTGCAGGGTCACGGAGCCCAGCCACCGGCAGCACCCCCACCCTGGCACCACCTGCTGCCACCTGCACCTGGCCCAGGTCTCCTGCCTCAGCCTCTCCCCTGCTTCCCTTCGCATCCCACCCGTGGGCAGCCCGGCTGGGCATGGAGGCCATGCCAGGCCCCAGGCTCTGGGGTGGAGAGAGGGGGAGGAGGGGGAGCCTAGTGTCTGTGTGGGGAGGGGTCCAGGTTCTGCAGCCCAGGCCTGGCGTCTGCCCAGGCCTGCCACCAATACCACGCTGGGCCCTCCCTGTTCCTCAGTCTCCCCAGCCTGCCTCAGGTCACTCAGGGCAGCAGGAGGTCAGAGGCACATTGGCAACTGGCTGCCGTGAGTCCAGGCAGGAGGGTCTCTGGTCAGTGTATCTCAGGACAGGCCCAGGCCCCGCCACCCTTAGGCCCAGCCCCTCTGCCCCCCACCTCCCCCACCTCCCCAAATGCAGCCCAGCCTCCGCCCACCCCTCCTCACGCCCAACACGGGTACACCCCGCTGTCCCGCTGTGGGACTGCTCTCAGCTGGGCGCAACCCCCACGTTGTGCCCAGGACAGAGAGACTCTTCCCTCCAGCCAGGCTGGTGCCACGTGCTGAGGGGCGCTCCCTCCTCTGAAGCCCCCCACCCACGTCCCTTCCTCAAGTCCTGTCCCCACGTCCCCGGAGCTGTGCTCTCACCTGCACAGCTCCGTCCCCGAGTCCTCCAGCTCCTGGGTGGACAGGCAGGCCCCGGCCGCCCGCAGCAGGCCAATGACACCCTGGTGCCTGTCACGAGAAAAGCGCAGGAACCGTCTGCCCTGGCCAGGCCCAGGCACAGCCCCCACCTCGCCCAGACACCGGCAAAGCCTGTGTCCTGTGGACAGGGACGAGGACCTGCCCGCCCAGGACCCCGCAGCCCTGGGCCCAGACGTGGCCGAGCCCCGACCCTGTGGCCAGGCCCATGCGTGCGGTTTGCGCAGAGCCCCTTCCCAGGACAGCTCGGGCCTGCAGGGGGCTTCTCCTTTACCCCGGGTGCCCCCAGCATAGTCTCCTGGCCCGTCCTGAGGGGACAGTCGCCCTAGAGGACAGTCCCAGGCCGCTATGCACCCCGAACACTGATCGCACATCATGGGGACCTGCCCAGCCAGGCCCAGGCTGGCTCTGGGGACTCTGGATCCAGGAGGCCCAACTCTGCCCTTGGGGGCAGGGCAGGATGTGGCCCAGGCAGACAACCCGACAGGTGTCAGCGGGCCCGGGGGCCAGGGCTGGGGCCAAGGTGCTTTCCAGAGGCCACTTCACCTGAGCCAGGCCTGGGCTGAGCTGTGTGTGGGGTGGGGACTTGGGTGAGGGGGAGGCTCCAGCAAAGCCAGGAACAGAAGGCTCGGGGTCGAGGCTGCCCCCCACAGTGCAGTGGGAGTGACGTGGTCATTGCACCCCAATCACAAACTATGCCCTGCAAAGTACCGCAAATGATGCGGGCACCCCATTTTCAGGGAGTGTGAGGTGATGGGATGGGGGTCCCCAGGCCTCCGCCACCCCGGCAGACGCGTCAGTAGTGGACTGGCCCTCCATGCCACCCAGGCCTCAGCAGGGCCAGGCAGGCGACCTCAGGGAGCCTGCCAGGGGAGTGCAGCCCCAGACAGTATTGCGAGCAGGGAAGGGCAAGGGGCGGGCCCCTGTGAGCTCATCTCCGAGATACCTACCCACACTGAGGGTGCACAGTCCAGAATCCCGGCCCAGACCAGCCCAGCCTGGGCGCTGGGCTCCCACGCATGGCCCCTCGCCCCCTTGCTCTCCCACCCCCCGCCAGGCCCGTTCTAGAACTCCCTCAGTGCTCAAGCCTGGAAAGAACCTTCTACAAGCCCCGGCCCAGACTCTCAGCTGGGGAAGAGCACCCAGGATGGACACGCCAGTCTGGAGACTCCAAGCCCAGACACCCCGGGGCTCTCTCCAGGGACCCAGGAGCACGGCCTCCCCCAGAGAGCCCAGGTCCTGCAGGCCGAGCGCCCCTGGGCAGAAATCCCCGGGAGCAGCTGTTGGGTTCGGGCTGGGCTCGAGCAGGCAGGTCCCTCTGGCTCCTTCGGGGCTCTGAGCGGAGGCTGCAGTCGGGCACCAGGGACGCGGGGCAGCCCAAAGGCTGACCGGCCCCAGCCCTCGAGCACACTCACATGTTCCCTCTGCATGTGGCACTGTGTCGGGGTATGGATGGGGCAATGGAGAGGGACCCGCAGGGGAATCGAGGGGAGCCCCACCCCACCCTCGAAGGCCCTGAGGACGTGAGTCCGGGGACGGGCCCTGCCAAGCGCTGCCCGCCTCGCCCCCACCTGCTCTGAGTTGACTGCCAGTCAGCAGCCGCCCGGCCCACGTGGAGGGACGCGGGGAGTGGCCCTGGGACAGCCCCGTGACCAGGCAGGGCCTCACCAGTGAACGGAGATGGCCCCACCAGAGGACCCTCGGGCTGAGCACCTGCCGCTCTGGCCATGTGCTGGCAACGCGGCCCAGGGAGCGGGGTCGGGGCTGGGCTGGGAGGGGAAGACAAGGCCTCCCGGCCCCGGCCCGGTCTCCGCCCTGGGCGGGGAGCCCCGCTTGCGAGTGCTCTCCTTCACCATGGACCTCACTGCCGCCCCGCTCGGGGAGCCCCCACCCCGACACACACTCGAGCACACGCTACAGGCGGGGAAACCAAGGCTCAGGGTGGGGAAGCCCTCACAGAGGCCTCCGTGACCCCGGCTCTGCCCCACTGCAGGGCAGGGCAGCCCGACTACCAGTGTCCTGTGCCCCCAAAGTGCCTGCCAGGCAGGCATGGCTCTGGGAAGCAGGCGTCCTCAGCCTCACCCAGCTCTGCCCGGGGAAGCTGTGTGTCCCAGGCAGTCCGGCAGGCTCTCTGCGCCCCATCTGTGCCTGCTTGCCTGGGTGGCTCTGTCCAGCCCCTGCCCCGTACCTGCCCCGCACGGCCAGCAGCAGTGGGCTGAAGCCATCCTCGTCACGGGCATTCACGTCCACACCTCTCTGCAACAACATGCTAACCACCCTGGCATGGCCCCCCCGGGCGGCCGCATGCAGCGGGGTTTGGCCGCGGAAGTCTTCCAGGCTCAGGTCACTGCCCTGGGATGAAAACAAGGCCACGTGGCCCCTGAGGGAGGGCCGGGCAGAGCCAGGCAGGCCACGGAGGGTGGGGTGCACTCCCGAGGGGGCTCGGCTCAGCTACTGTGCCACCCCTCCGCTGCAGAGAGGCCCAACCTGCTGGCTGGACGGCACCACTGCCCCACCTGGCAGTGGCTTAGTGGGGTTGGTAGCCCAGGTGAGAGGCTGTTCTGTCCACAGGGGCCCGCGCCCCTCACCCCAGGCCCGCATGGCTGGGGCGGCCCCAGGAGTGAGGCTCACCATCTCCTCGAGCACCTGCAGAGCCTCCAGGTCGCCGGCGTGGGCCGCGGCACAGGCCAGGCTGGGCGCCAGGGCATCGCGCACAGCATCTGCCTCCTGGTGGGGGAAGGTGGCACCTGGGACCCACGCCTCCCTCTGGGTCCTCGGCCCCCCAGGGGAAAAGGTGGCCAGAGCCAGCAGTCCCCGGTACTGTGTGCGCCTGCCACCCCCAGACGGTGAGTCCCCCAGCACGAAGGAGAAAGTGCCTGAAATGCCACATCCACAGGCCTGGGGCTGGAACCTCACCCCCTACCCAGAGGCCCACTAGGGCCCTGCCCGGGAGCAGAGGCCAGGACACCAGGACACTGTCCGGCCCCAGTGGTGTGACCAGGGCTGCCCTCCAAGGTTCATTTGTTCCTCTGTCTCCACCACTGTCGGGGATAGAATAAGTCACTAGCTGGGGGCACGCAGGAGGGGCGCCAGCCACCTGGAGAGCAGGGTCCTGCTCCGTGTTCCTGGAAGGGGTACCCATCTTAGCACCCCATCATCCAGGAGCTCCCCAACACGCCAGGAGGCCACTGCACCCAGCAGGCACGGCCTGGCCTGACCACAAGGCTGCTGCCACTGGCCTGCGTCCCAAGGGGCCCCGGGGCCCCAGGCAGCCACCCTAATGACAGGCCACACAAGCCAGGCCCCTTCACCCGACCGCTGCCCACGCCCAGCAAGTGGCAGTTAACACCACCACAGCTCACCAGGGCAGGGCCATTCCTGCAGGGGAGAAAGGCTCAGGAGGCCTGCGGCGGGCCCAGCAGCTCGGAGAAGCCCCGCTCCCTTCCATCTGCCAGTGTCCCATGCCAGGCCCAGCGCTCCGCCCAGGTGGGGGGGCACGGTGCAGGGTGCAGGGGAGGCCCCAGTCACCCCTGCAGACCCCACCCTCCCAGGTCTGCACACGGGTGGTGATGGGAGTGCTCAAGGCTGCCATGTCCCCGGGTGCAGGTGTGGGGCCTGGCCACCTCCCCCCTGCTCAGGCAGATTCCTGCAGCCCCTGCACCCAGGGCCAGCGCTGGTGGTCAGAGGGCAGCAGCCCAGCCCGGCAGCGGCCCCCAGCCACCCCACTGTGCGCCCCCGTCTACATGCTGGGAAGGCTCTGCTACGTGGCCTGGTCCCTTCCCGCTGCTGTCCGTGGATCCCCACAAATCCCCGCTGTGGACCCTAAACCCTCCTCCTGGGCCCTCGAACCAGGCCGTGCCTGGCTGGTTCCAGCTCACAGCTGGAATGACCGTGGTGGCTCATGCCTGGCAGGTCCCACAGGGACCGGGGGTGCAAGGGCCCATCCTGGCGCTCAGACACGCCCCCCACCCGTGCTGCCCCCACCCCGTCGGCAGTACCTGGCTGCCACTCAGACTGAGGAGCCAGGCGGCCCCTCTGCCCAACGTACTGCCCAGCAGCAGGGGCTGGCGCTCGTCAGCCGTGGGCACCGTCATCTCCCCGCGGAGGTCCTTGGCCAGCAGCTGGGGGAGAGAGCACAGGGCTGGGCAGACCCTGCCAGGGCCAGACACGCAGCCCAGACAGCCTGGAGGGCCAGGCTCCCCCGCTGGCCGAGGGCCTGCGCTGGGCCTGGAACTCGGCTGGGGTGTGATCCCCGCCAGGTTCCCGCACCAGCCAGCCCCACCTGCCAGCCGCTCCAGTTCAGGGTCTCTGAGGCCCCCACGGCCTCTCCCATCCCCAGGGGCTGCAGCCCAAGAGCCTGGGGCTGGCTGTGTCTAGCCTCCCCCAGGAAAGGGTGCAGCAGGGAGGGAGGCCATGCCAGGACCTGCCGCCCCCCAGAGCAGGTACAAGGCAGGCAGTGCCTGAGCTCGCAGTCGGGTAAGGGCTGGGGCCGGCCTGGGGCCCAGAGCTCCCCTTCCCCACCACGGAGCCCACCTGCTCCCCCACCCACGCACCCACCCAGGCACACGTGCCCGGACTGGACCCCCACTCTCTTCCTGCGGCCCCCCCGGCACACCCTCGGGAGCCAGCCAACACGTGTGCACACACGAGTGTGGCCCAGCCCGCACCCACAGCCCGAGTGGACGCACCTCCTTCCTGTCGTCCAGGCTCAGCCCCGGCTGGCCCAGCACATACGACAGCTTGGCCAGGGCGGCCTCCGATGTCATGTCGAGGCCTGAGATGATGCCAGCTCCTGCCATGGCCTGTGGGCGGGGGCTCGTGGCAGGGCTGCCTGCTCCCTCCCCAGCCTCCCAGACGTGTGCCCCAGCTGGAGGTCTGTGGATCAGAGCTGGGCCCACAGGCCAGCCCTTCCTCCCCCGGCCTCGGTTTCCCTGCCCCTACCATGCCAGTTGCGTAGTCCGAGGTCACTGCCCCCTGAAGGCAGTGGGTGCAGTTGACAATGACCAGGCCGCGCTCAGCCGCCGCCCTCAGCTCCCACAGCAGGTCCGGCTTGGTGGGCCCGTTCCCCGAGCCAAAGGTCTCCATGACCAGGCCCTTCATGGGGGGCTGCAGGAAGGCTCGAACCTGTAGGGTGGCAGGGCCAGGGCCGAGGTGAGGGCCTCCGCCTCCTGCCCCAGTGACTGGGCCAACACGCCTGCCCCACATAGGCCGCCCTGGCCATCCGAGGAGAGGGCCCCAGACCAGAAGCAGCCGGCCGCCTCCTGAGCTCCCGGGACAGCTGGGCTCGAGCAGGTGTGCACGGCTGTGGCACCTGCAGAGCCACAGGGGCTGCCCCCCGCCAGGCTCTCCCACGGGACACCTGTCTGCAGCGTCTAAAGCCTGGTGTAGCAGGACGCAGCACCACGCAACACGGCAGAGGACAGTGCGAGGGGGCTCACCAGAGACCCCAGCGCAGCTCTGCCTTGACTGAGACACGCCGAGGGCCCCTGGAGCCGCACCGGCCCCCCACGCCCGAGAGGCCCGCAAGCTCCAGGGAGGGGCCCGGCCGTCAGCCTCTCAGCGGAGCAGGACAGAGGCGGGCGCTGCAGGGGCTCAGGGGCCGACGGCATTCCGTGGAGGACCAGGGAAAGGCAGCGACAAGAGAGCCATCAGCGTCCACGAGCACCCACACGGGTGGGCCCCAAAGCCTCAGCACATCCTGGCGACGCTCACGCAGGCCGGGGTGCCGGGAGCGGGCGCAGCAGGGCTGCAGCACAGAGGCCGAGTTCCCGGCACCCCGGGAGCTGCGAGGGTGCAGGGGCAGGGTGGGGGGTGGGGGGACAGCCCTACCAGGGCGGCAGGGATGCCGGGGTAGAGGCGCAGCAGGCCCACGTCCCGCTCCATGCTGTCGTGCACCACCAGCCTCGCCTTCCTGCCGACTTTCCGCACCAGCTCCCTGTTGACTGTGGGGACAGGGAAGGGCCCGGTGTGGGGCCTGCAGCCACCTGCCAGCCAAGACCCCAGCCCGCCTGGCCCTCCTGCCCCGTCCCCCTCCCCGGGGCAAATCCACCTGGGCCTCAGCTGGCCCAGGGCCAGGCTCCAAGGTGCGCTCGGGGCCCAGGGAGAAGGTGCTCTCAGTCCAGAGACCGATGGCCAAGCAAGGGGGACACGTGACCAGGGGGACGGGCCCCAGGAGGAATCTCGGCTGACCGGGCAAGGCGGCACGGAGGACCCCGCAGAGACAGAGGCCTGGCCGAGTCGTGCAGGCTGCCTGGGGGTACGCAGGGAGGCAGAGGTGGCCCAGCGGGGCAGCCCAGGAGCGGTCAGGCCAGCATTCTCCGGCCAGCCCTGCCCCTGGCCACTGCTGTGGGGTCGACGGGAGCATGAGTCTTGTGGGCCCCCCCCTCTGGGGAAAGAACGCCTCCATCCAACTCACCCCAAAATCCTAGAGTCCTAACACATGCCCATCGCCCGCTCCCCACACCCAGGGTGGGTGATGGTGGAGTCCCAGGCCCCAGGGAAAGGGGAAGGGGCAGATAATTGGGGTCAGCACCCTGAGAACCCGGCTGGGCGGAGGCGAGGCCAAGAGAGCCGCCCTGAGCTGCTGCGGTCCCCCAGCCTCCCGCCCGCAAACCCTCAGAGGCCCCATTCCCACGGCCCTGGGCACTTGGTGGCCTCCAGCAGAGCAGAGCTGGACACTGGTGGCCCCACTCACTGAGGGACGTGAGAGCCTGTCTGGGCAGCAGGGACCTGGGGACCCTCTGGTCCAGCCCTGGGAGTCTGAGGCCCAGAGTGGGAAGGGCCTGGACTAGGGCCCCAGAGAGTCAGGCAGAGTGAGGACTGGAATGGGGCAACAGGACCCCACCCCACTCCTCCCACCCCACAGGGGATGTCAGCCCTGGGCCTCCTGCTGTTTCTGCCACAGCAATTCACATGTGGCAATAAACAGAAGAATATTCAAGACACAAGACACTAGTCAGAGGGGGTGTGAGATGCAGGGGTGCTGGGGGTGGGGAATAGGGGCTCCTTCACAGGGAGGTCCCACCCCACGGGGCAGCAGTCAACCCCACCCCATGGCAGCACAAGAAGTCCTTTAATTCAGGGACGTGAGTCTCAGCTGGACAAGCAGATAAGGCATCAGCCAGGGGGCCGGGGGTGCCACCACCGGAGCTACAGCTGCAGAGGGGGTGCACACGGGGACAGCCTGCAGCCAGCCCATTGCCTCCTGAGGGCCTGCAGAAGCCACCCCTTGGGATCCCCAACACCTTCCCACCCAGGGCCTGCTGAAGGCCAGGGGTGTGGCTGTCACCACGCCTGGGGCAGAGAGAGGAGGGTCGTGGCCGGTGACCAGGCGAGTCCCAGCACCCAGTCCCAAACAGCCCCTGCGGAGGGACTATATTCTGGGAGCCAAAGGGTTGGGGAGTTCATGCCAGCAGGGCAGGGTGAGAATGTGGGTCTCCTGGAGACCCGGCCTGGACAGCACGTGTCCCAGACATACGGAAGGCCCAGGCCGGCATGACCCAGCCTCTACGCGCCTGCCTTAGCGCCGGGCAGACTGTGGCCGGGTGCCTACTGAGCACCAAGCCCCGTCTGTGGCCCTGGGGTGGCTGGTGCAGCCCCTCTCGCCCCACAGGGAAAGTCCAAGGATGAGCCCGAGACAGGGAGCCCGAGTGGCAGTGCACCCGCCGGCTCCAGGAGAGAGGGGGCACACACTCTGCAGCTGGCTCTGCCCCGCGGCCCCCTCCCCAGGGCCCCAGCAGCCACACCCTGGGCAGAGGCTGGGGTTTCTCAACACCGGGTGCCAGAACCGGCCTGGCAGCCTGACATCAGGCGGCGGGGCGGGGCCGCGGGTTCCCACACCTGCCCAGGTGGAAAACCGGCCGGACCATGGCCCGGGGGTGGGGCAGCCTCCCGCTCGAGGCTGGCCTCGGCGCCGGCTGGGAAGCTGTGCTGCAGCCCTGCGCCCAAGGCCCACGCGGGCTTGGCACACGGTGCCAGCAGAGCCCCGGAACCCACAGCGAAGCCCTCCGCACTCGGCTGGGGCGGGGTTCCCACAGGCAGAAGCTCCACTCCTGAGCCCCAGATAAGGCATGACTCAGCCCCCGAGGGAGCCGGGCCTGCAGGGCAGCCGCCCACACCTCCACGCCGCCCCTCCTTCCTGGGCTGCAGGGGCCAAGTGCCACCACCCAGCACAGACAAGCCAGTCCAGCACCCGCTCCGGCATGGGCCGCCTCCTCCAAGAAGCCGCCACACTGCCTGGGCCCTCAGCGGGCACACAGCCCAGCCTGGCTCCTGGGGCTGGGGTGCCGCGCACACACGGACGCACTGACGCGTTCTGGGCCTCCACTCCCTGGAAGGTGCCCGAGTGAGTGTCAGGGCTTGGCAGGTCCAGGACGAGAGCCCCAGAAGAGGAGCCAGGGCTCAGGGGTGACCCAGCACCTCCCTGTGTGGCCCTGCCCCTCGCTGCCTCAGTTTCCCACCCGCAGAACCAGGCACTGGGGCTGTGACTTCTGTGGTTTCCTCCCATGCAGTCCTGCTGAAGGGGTCATGGGGCAACCAGCAAGTCCCACCTTCAGAGCCACCTGCTGTCATCTGTTTCCACGGACAGTGCTGCCAGCCAGATGTGCCCAGAACCCCTCCTCCCCTCCTCATGCCAGGCCCCAGAACTCCTCGGGGTCCCTGCCTGCATCTGGGGAATCTTCCGGGAAGCCGCAGGCCCTGGGAGGTCGAGGCCTGGCTGCCCGGCCTTCTCTGGGAGGGTCTGCTCCTCCCCGGAGCGGGGCAGGACAGCGCCTGCCGCACCAGGAGGCTCCCCGGGAGCTGCCTCTCCTGTGCCCGACCCACGGCCCCGCCGAGGCCCAGGCCCGAACAGCAGCACGCACGGGCGCGGCACTCCACCCGCCAGCGGGCTGGGACGCTGCACAGCCACCCAGTCAAACGGGAACAGCCGCGTCACTTCTGGACAAGCCACCGCACCCCATCATGCGCACGGTGAGCCCAGCGCCAGGCAAGCCGGCAAAAGGCCCCCAAAGGAACGCCAGCTCTGCAGGCCCTGGAGCCTCCGGGACGGGACCCCTGAGCCAGCGGGGTGAGGACAGAGGCCCCAGTGTCCTGGGCCCACACCTCAGTCAGGAAGCACGAGACGCGGGGCAGGGTTGGAGCAGCCGCAGAAGCACCAGGGCCCAGGCAGGCCACTCTGAGAGCCTCCTGTCACAGGAGGAGAGACAGGCCTGGGGGCGGGGGCGGAGCTGGCCCAGAGCCCAGGAAGGCAGAGGCTCCCCAGGAGGGCTGGGAGCCTGGCCCTGAGTCTCGGGGGAGGCCTGGCCAGGGTACTGGTCTCTGACAGCAAGTTCTGAGGCCGCCCCTACGCCCAGGGCCTGCCCCACCCAGGGAAGCCTTAGCACACAGGACCAGCTGGGACACCACCGGCCCACAGGGACAGCTGGGCTGCCTGCCAGGCCCAGAGCACAGAACGACTCCCCTGAAATGCCCAGGGCCGAGGGTGCAGGGCAGGAGCACATGTCCCAGGAGGACAGGGGTGTGGCAGAGCCACAGACGGTCTGGCAGGAGCTCCCAGGCGTGCAGCCATGTGGCTGGGGCAGGACACAGGAGGGACGGGCCCCGGAACCTCCTCTCCAGGCCCCACCGCTGGGCCTGTGGCAACCTGCTGAGGCCCCAGCTGTGCAGCCACATGTGGCCCCCTCTCCACAGCCCAGGGCAGAACCAAGTGCTGGGCCCTGTCCCACTCAGGGGAACCCCCAAATCCCAGGCACGGTGTCCCTGCAGCAGCCCATGCACACATCTGGGGCCCTGCTTTTGGCGGGGCTTACTGGTGACATCGGCGCCCACAGTGGCCAGAGGGGGCAGGTTGGGGGAGCAGAAGGCCGCAAACCTCCGGGCGTCCACCTTGGTGGTCCGGTTGCCCCGAAACAGCTGATTCTGGAAGAACACGCAGACCTGCGGGAGGGGAGGGGCGGGGCTGGGGCTGAGCTGGCCTGCCCTGGACCCCTGTGTCCTCCCTGCCATCCACAGGGACACCCAGGCCCCGGCAGAGGGTGGCCTGTCACCCCACCCACCCTGAGCAGGGCCCCTCCTAGGAGGAGGCACTCGGACGGCCACTCAGCACAGGCCCCTTGTAGCCCCAGTCCCCCCATGGGCAAGCCAGAGCCTGCAGGGGCCTGGGGACACAGGGCCCTGGGTGGGCAGGTGGCTGGGGGGGGACCATGCTCCCCTCCAAGCAGAGACTCCACAGACGCCCCCCTGTGGTGGACGTGAGTTCCTGCAGGTGCCGCTTGGGAGCTGAGGACTCTTCCTGGCACTGAGCTGTGCGGGGGCTGTTCCCCAGGAGGGACCAGGCTGCGCCCTCCGCCCTCCTGCCCGGGGGCAGGGAGGGAAGCGCTAAAGATAAGAATGGGCTCCTGGTCCCTCCACTCAGGCATGGGGACGTCTCCCCGTGATGCCACAGGAACAGGAAAGATGCCGCAGCGGGTGCAGCCTGTTTCCGTGGAAACTCGCACACGAATCCACAATATAAGTATAAATGTCTACAACAACAAATGTGGGAGAAAATGCACTCTCTGGGGAGCGAGGTTTAGGGGCGACTCTGTTCCCTTCTGCTCTCACTTTCCTGAGGTTTGGGACAGTGACTGCATCGCTGACTAGGTGACAGACGAATCTTTAAAATCCGCGGAGCCCCCCACCCCCCACGCAGCCCCGGCCGCACCTCGGGGATCACGTACTGGCCGGCCATGAGCAGCGCGCCCAGCAGGTTCTCACGGCCATCGCTCCACAGGGCATGGATGGGTACCTGGTGGGGAGACCAGAGAGGGGCTGAGGTGGGGCAGCATGGGAGGGTGCGGTCAGCGCGCCAGGCAAACCCTCAGCCAGCCGAGGAGCCTCCAGGCCGGGGCTGGGGGACAGGAGGGCCAGGGCAGGCCTGGGATGGTTGGTGGGGAGTGCAGAGGGAACAGGGCCACCCGGCAGGGGACAGTCAGCCCATTTTCAAGGCTGCCAACCACGGCTGATGCTGGGGCAATGCCAGCCTCTGTCTGGTGCCTCCCTCTGCTCCCTGGGGGTCCCGCGCCCAGGGCTAGCAGGAGGGGCCAGCCAGTCCCCACACTGGGAGCAATGCGTCATGGCCCTCCTGCCCAGGACCACCTGGCTATCCAGCCTGGCCACACCCCCCACCAAGGGCGCCACAGCTCGCCCTCACCCCCAGTGGAACTGTGGGCTGAGCCCGGGGTGGGGCCAATGGAAGGGGCCTCCACCGGAAGCCAGCACAGTCCAGCTCTGTCCCCCTCTGCCTGGTCTGCCACAGGGTGTGCAGACGCCAGGGAGGAGCTGGCCAGGGAGCGGTCAGTGTAGGGTCTTGGGAGAGAACGAGCCCTGGCCTCGGGGTGGCACTCTTTGGTGCACGGCTGGGGATGAGCCCCTGGCCTGTGAGCCTCAGTTTCCCCCTGGTGTAACAGGGATAAGGATGCTTCGTCACAAGCTGGGGTGAGGGTTAGAAGGACACTCGTGTGAACACTCCCGGGGCCCACAGTCGCCCTGGAGAAGCCTCATGGAGCTCTCCTCCCCAGGGCTTGGGAGGGTCTGGGAGGAGGAGAGTCGACCTGAGCCCCAGCCACCCCACAGGAGCTCCAGGATGGGCTGCGGGTGTGGACAGGAGGCAGCAAGAGCAGGAGGGGCTCCGCAGCCAAAGTGAGTGCAGTGGGCCTGGCCTGTCACCAGAGGGACCACCTCCAGATCCCTAGAGGACAAGGGAGGCCCAGCAGGCATGGCTGAACCAGGATGGTGCCGGCAGACCTGGCAAAAGGGCTTCCCTGGAGCTTTCCGGGGCTGCCAGCAGGTTCTGCTCAAAGGGACACAGGCCTCTGCCCTGTGGGGAAGGGTCCCCAAGGGCTCAGGTGGTAATGGCCCCTATGGCACTAGGGTTTGCTCTTGTGAAATCACCTGCAGGCAACAGGGACCCCAAGTCACTCTCTGGCAGGTACTAATGAGGGTCCAGATCTCCCCTGCTGCCTTCCCTAAAAATCTAGCAGTTTTCTGGAACATTCCACCAGCCCTGGCTTTGCAGAGTTGGGCTGGGTTAGGGCAAAAGAGGGAGGGCATCAGGTGCCAGGGTTCCCTGAGGATGGCCTTGGTGGGAACCACAGTGGGAAGAGGGAAGAGAGGGACAAAGGTAGCAGAGATGACCAGGACCTCCCCAGCCACTGTGCGAATGTCAGGTAGTCACAGGGGCAGCAGGAAACAGTCCGTTACTGGGGAGAGCAAAGGCTGCCTGGTGCCAGCAGGGCTGAGTGCAGGCGGGGCTCTGGGTGCTGGCAAGGCCACCAGCAGGCCATGACCCCCACGCCCAGGGGCAGCAGGACAGAGCCATGAGCCCTGGCCAGCACTCCGGGAGCTGCCAGACTGAGAAGCCCGGGTCCCGCCTCAGCCCCCAGCAGCACTGACTTGCCCTGTGGCCTCAGGATGCCCCAACCCCAGGCTCGGGCCCCTGGGGTACCTGGGCCCCGGTGAGGACCACGGTCTTCTGAAGGTTCTCCAGCAGGAAGGACAGCGCCGAGGCAGCGAAGGCCATGGTGTCTGTGCCGTGGATGACCACGAAACCATGGTACTGCTCGTAGTGTCTCTGTGGGAGGCCAGCGCTCAGGGCAGCAGGACAGCCCTTTCCCCACCGTCCCTCCCCCTGGGACAAGCACAGCGGGGCAGCAGGGCGGGGACCTGGATGCAGACGGAGGGAGGCGGGGGCGGCGCGGGTGGGACCCTGTCCACTGCGACCTAGAAGACTCTCTGGAAGGCCAGCCCTGCCTGGAGTCCTGGACCATCTCTCCAGGCCTGGTGCTGGGGTCAGAGCACGCGGGGTGCGTGTGAGGGGCCCCTGGACATCCCCAAGGGCAGGCATGGCACCCAAACTGCCCGCCAGTGTCTCCCCGGGCCTCAGAACGGCGACCTGGCAGGGCCTGTCAGCCCCGGGGCTGCCCCGTGCTGGGCTCGGCGCTCGTGGAGGGCCTCGAGGAGGGTGCACCGCCTCCAGGGCAGCGCGTGGGAGCCCAGGCGTCCACTCAGGTGCTGGGCACAGGGCCAAGGCCACAGGTGCTTGGGAGGCTGCTTGGGACACAGGGCGGTGCTGGGGGCGGGGCCGTGCTGGGGCAGGACCGTGCTGGGGCGGGGCCGTGCTGGGGCGGGGCCGTGCTGGGCGGGGCTGTGACAGGGGAAGGGCTGTGCTGGGCAGGGCTGTGATAGGGGAAGGGCTGTGACAGGGGAAGGGCTGTGCTGGGCAGGGCTGTGATAGGGGAAGGGCTGTGCTGGGGCGGGGCTGTGACAGGGGAAGGGCTCTGTTGGGGCGGGGCTGTGACAGGGGAAGGGCTCTGCTGGGGTGGGGCTGTGATAGGGGAAGGGCTGTGCTGGGGCGGGGCTGTGATAGGGGAAGGGCCGTGCTGGTGCGGGGCTGTGATAGGGGAAGGGCCGTGCTGGGGCGGGGCTGTGAGCTTGTGACAGGGGAAGGGCGTGTGCGAGGGTGGGGCCTGTGCACAGGGGAAGGGCCGTGCTGGGGTGGGGGCTGTGACAGGGGAAC